AAAACAAAACATAATATACGAATATCTAGGTGAATTGAACTATAAATAGACATTGACGATCCCTAAGTAGGGTAAGTACTACAAATGCATAGAAACTAGAATTGTTGAAGTGTATTACAGTTGGATTGAGATGAAAATTCGCTTTCTTTAAAACCCACGTACTCGTTTGAAATGCTCGGATATTTGGTTCTTATTGATTGGATTACACACGCAGGGAGCCTGTACCGATTATTTTTCCCCAGTCCATGAAACTCTAACAAATTTAGAAAGGATCTATAAGCTGTATGGCGTAGAAGTTGGTGGAAACTCTCCTGGTCATCTTTATCCGGATAACTAATAGTTTTGTGACCATATGTGGCCATTTCTAATGCGTCTCTATTTAAAATAAAATTGCAAAATTTGCTGTGTTCAGTTATACATTGATTTTCTGTTTCCATCATGTCTCGAACAACGTTAACGTCAGAGCAACAGTAGGAAACTTCCCCTTCAGGTAGTGTTTCGCATTTCCCACAAATACACCAATCTTTTGAGTGAACACTAACGGGAGCACACAACCGATTTTCTACGTCATCGTCCTCTTCATCTGTGTCACAGTCCTGCTCCTTACAAAGTTCTTGGTCGCTATCATGGTCACTGAGATCTAGCCGATAGGGGTCAAATGCCAAACTGTACATGATGGATGTTGAATTGTTGATCACCCCACAGTCATCCGGAATGTTCTCGTTTTCCTCCTCACTACTTGAATCAGAAGTTACTTCTGCAGAGCTTGAGTCACTTTGCACGTCATGCTCAGTGGAATTGTTGTCCAAGTCATTGGCCATTGGTAAATGTAGTACGTAATCTTCCTTACTACTCAGACTCTTACTCCTAAAACCAAGACATTTTCAAAATATTTTAATTTTATTTGCTTCTTATAATTTCAAAGTCTATATAAAGGCCTAAATCTTGGATCTGTATGTACTATGTAATAATATATGAACGGATAAACGGGTCAGGGTGTATTTCAAACTTCAACTTTTGACTTGATCAACTACACTCGCTCAATAATGTATATTAAATAGTTGAATATAAATGATCAGAGTGTAACTCTGTAATATAATATTACAGCTGTTCGGAAGAATACGAGCAGTCGAATAGTCCGCTCTCCTAAAAGAGTTTGATCCGAGAGCAATTATATTTATTGCATAGCGGAATTTCTTACTGTATAATCCACACGTGCTAGACAGTACAGGAGACAAGAAGTCTGGCTATTTTACGGCTGTTCCCACGGGACCATTCCGATTGGAGCTAGTAGTAGTAGCTCCTATCAGAATGGTGCCGTGGGAACCGAATTACCGCCAAAAATACCCGGGATACCAAATACCTGATTGAAGTGTACGGTATGCGGTGTGTTTTGAATTTGACTTACCTATAGTTGTCGTCCTAATTGTATTACCATAAATAAACTACTGGTAAAATTAAATACCGAGTGCAGACTGCAGTCAATCGACCCACTGAAAAACTATAGAATTTTCGAGACCCTATTATTCTTTGGCCATAATATATTACGGTGCGATTGATTCTGAGATGGCTAGATGACAAATGTTAATCTATAAAATTCTTAAACTATGATCTTTTAACATTTCACGTAAAACATTGTCGCCATAGGTTGATCATGAACACTAACAGCTTAATTTTAGATAAATGACTCATGAGTTTCTGTGCCGCATACAACTGCACTAAGCGTCTTGGACGGGATGAGAGCAGCTACCGAAACTTTATTCGCTTCTATAAGTTTCCGTTGGAGAACAATAAGGCTTATTCACGTACGAGAATGTGGGTTTCTAGAATTGACAGAGAAATGACACACATGAATTTTAAAAGCATGCGAATATGCTCTGATCATTTTTGCGATGATGACTTTGTCCAGACCACCTTCTATCGCACCACAATCCAGGACCCCGAGCATTGGAAGGGGATTCCGATACTGCTAAAACCTGACGCTATACCCAACACGATACGGGAGACAGGAGAGCGGCGAACACCACGGCCAGCATCAGCAGTTAGTAACACCAGCAGTATAAACACACCAGTCCTTAAAGTTAAACGTACGGGAGTTAAACGTCGGCTCACAATGACAAACCCAATCGAGCATATAGATAACTTATTGAACGTTAATAAGTCTTTGATAGATAAAAATGATCAAGCAATAGTGTCTCTAAGAACCCCTAGCAGTAGCACTTCCTCTGCCCCTACGACTCCAGTTAGTCTTGGCTTAGACGTGGTATGTCCAAGTATTTTAGATCAGGTTCAGGAGACTACTTTGACTAAAACCCGTGTGAAATCAGTATATGTTCAGACAGAATGTTTCAGATGCAGTAATTGCTGTAAAAGTAACAATGTTCGGGACATTAGAGAAAACGAGTCCGTAGTGCAGAGTTTAGGTTCAGAGGATGAAATTGTGTTAGATGATCGTGATATAATATACACTGGTAGTGCAGATTATTCGTTTCTTCCGACAAATAGTGCTCAGAATCAAAATGCTTTGTCAATGTCAGTAAATAAAACATTTACAAGCCAAAAACGAAACATAAATAAGATAACACCCGTGAAATCTGTCATAGTTGACGTTGAAATGCTACTGCAACTCTTTAAATACTGTCTGCATTGCAGTTCTCCAGTTGAATCTATTAAAACCAACTATTCGGGGTCTGCTGTAGCAGTGGAGTGTATGTGCTTAATGGGACACAGCTTTGTTTGGCGGTCGGGTGATATGCCACATCGTATCGCACTCCTTAACGTTAGATTAAGCGCTGCTGCAACACTCAGTGGGCTAGGTTATTCGACATTTGAAACATTTTTCAAGCTTCTTGAACTTCCCCCTTTATCTAAACCTGCGTTCTACAAATTAGTCAAGACTTGGCTCTATCCAGTAATTGCGAGGGATTATGCTTTGATGAGAACTAAAACAATCGAAGACTTGAAAAAATGTGACGAAGTGACTATTTGTGGTGACGCACAATACGATAGTCCGGGGTATAGTGCAAAATTTTGCACATACACGCTCATGCAGTGTGGAACTGATAGGATCGTGGACTTTTTACCCATCCAGAAGGGCCAGTATGAGGGGGAACTAGAGCGGAATGCGTGCGAAGAAATTCTCAAGATGTTAACAGAAGAGGACCAGTTGAAAATAACTAGTTTTGTAACGGATGCTCATATTGGGATCGGCAAACTAATGCGTGAAAGTTACCCCTCTGTTCAACATTCGTATGACATTTGGCATTTTGGTAAATCCCTGAGGAAGAAGTTTAAAAAAGCCAGCAAGAAAAACCCAAAAATTGCGTCATGGGAAAATTCCCTCGTAAACCACTTCTGGTGGTCAGCTCAAAACTGTAACGGTAACCCTGAACTTTTAATGGAACTTTTTCACGCTTCACTGTTTCATGTACTCAATATTCACGCGTGGGGGAACAGAAGAAAAATCCACCAACAGTTTAAGACATTAAAGGGTACCAAACCTTACCCTAAGCCTCCAACTTTAGACAAGCTCAACCAAAAGTGCTTGCATCAAACACTGACAAAGGGTGCGAGCAGGAAAGGGATGTGGTTTAAAATAGGCGATTCTGACTTTGAGGCCCTGTTTAAGGTTATTACTAATACTAGAATGTGTAATTCCATGAAAAAGTGCGCAAAATTCCTCAATACCGGAGCACTAGAAGCACTCCACTGTGCCAAATTGAAGTATTTGCCGAAAAGGAAAGCTTTTTCTATGGATTCTACTATCGTCCTGATGATGCTGGTCTGTATTGAACACAACAAAAACCTGAGAATAGGGACGACTTCAAAACCAAGGACTAAAGTTGCCTACTCAAGAGCTCAAAAACAATATGTTTTGAAAAATAACTATTTTAGAGACAATATTTCGTACAAGAAGTCATTTTTAGAACTTGTTCAAAACCATGTTAAAAGCAATACCAAGCTTCCTATTGACCTAGGTAGATATAAGCGTAAGGTTGTGCCGAAAAGGTTTCATACTGCTGAGAAACCTAGCAAAGTGTTGTTAGAGCAGAAAAGATTGAGCAGAATGGGAAAATAGATCATATAGCTAGCTATATAGTGACTTTGATTATATTTTTAAGTATCTCAAGATTCTTATGATCTACTAATTTGAACCATTTGTGTCGGTTAATTAAGCTCTTTTTATTGTCTAACTCTAAAGTTGTGTATTATGTCCAATTTCTACCTGTAAAATACAGTCACGCGAGCTCCTCAGAGCCTCTGCGCGCGCAATGAGGGACTTCGTGACGTCATCACCAAAATAATACAAACGCTATTTACACGCGTTAGAGAGCAGTTAGAGATTTAGGAATTTCGACTCGTTGCTTAGTTTGCTATTTGTCACAATCTGTCAAAATATGAGGATAACTTTTTTTTCAGTTAACTGGTCCTTTAAAGACTCGACTCCATCTGAATCCATTAATTCTTGTGATCCCTCTCCTTCCATTTCAGAGCGACTTTCTCTTTCATCACTATCTGTATCATCTTCAGATATTTCTGCGTATAATTCGAACATATGGTCCCAAGCTTCACGTGAACGCCACCACGTAGACATGTGCGTGCGGAATAAGATATTATTCCGGACACTCCAATGCTTACTACAATAACACTGGTCACTGCTTTCCTGGTCACTGCTTTCCTGGTCACTGCTTTCCTGGTCACTGCTTTCCTGGTCACTGTTTTCCTGGTAACTGTTTCCTCGTTGGTTAGAACTCCTCCCACTGCCTGATAATATAATAAATCACGTTCTGGAACATTTTCACTAAATTATGGAAACTGTTTTATGCTCTGAGACTACAACTGTGTTACGATTTGTATTAAACTTTGTACGGTATATACCTAAGTGGTCTGTACATAAGTGGAACATTATTGGCAGTGTACGATTGTATCAAATATTTTTATCTGAGTTATATATATATTAGCGCATAGATTACACTGGCGAGAAGTAAGACTGTGTTTTTCGGGAATCGGATGAAATGTATAAATTCAGAATGAAATGTTTGTCAACTTGATAAATTACACTTAAATAATTGTCATAAAAAATGTTGTATTCTAAATGACTTCCTTTCTTTCGAAAAGGTCATGACTCGGAAATAAAGATATGGTTAAAATATCCCACTTTATAGAAGAAAAAAACGATAACTGAAAGAATACAATTAAAAACTCAAAAACAAGATGTCACATTTATCAGACAAACATAACTGCATTATATAAATAATATAGTCGTAATTGTTCAATAATTCGCAACAGCAGTGCTAATACAAAAATTGAAAATCTGAACATAAAAATCATTATTTGCATAAAAATCATTTACAGTTTGAAACATCCAGCAATTTGCATCTCCGAGTAATGGGATATCAGGTACTCTCCAAGGTTAATATTTCTTTTATTAACCCATATGAGATGGACCTTGGTTCCGGTTTCGTCAAAGAAATGACGTTGTACTCAATCCTATGATCCTCAAAGAAGTTGCTCACGTACGATTTGAGTCTAAAAACATAACGTTTAAATAGATTTTTATTCATGACATGCTCGAAGTCGAATCCACTGAGATCCTCCCTAAGCTTTATCAATTCGTCAGGAGATTGTCCAAGAAATTCTTCAGCCGCATCATTGAATATTGTTACCCAACGACCTCCACTGTAATCCTTAAGGAAGAGTTTAACGGCGAACCCATATTTAAAATGATTATAAGTCTCATTACAATTCCTACAGAAGTAGCCCAACCTAGGTTGGTTACCAGAACTAGTAGGTTGAGTGATTTCGGTAACTTTCTTGCGACATAATAATACTGGACACCCTGCGTAGATAACGTTTTCTCTTTTAATAATAGTAGCCACAGCTATCAGATTGAAATATTCTTCTCCTTTTGATCCCTTCGCAATACAACTACTAATCCTCTCCTCAACTTGAACAAAAGATTCAGTAACTAAGGTTGCAGGTGTGGAGTTTGTCTGGTGAGTTTCAGGGTCGATGGAATCATGACCTATCATCAATCTCTGCCTCTCGTTGTTCCTTTCTGCTTTCCACCATACACGAAGATCCTCAGCTTTCTTACCAGAAGGTTCGATGAGCATTATAGAAGTTTGGAACCACATGTGCAAATTGAATTTGTTTTCACCGAACCTAACAATTTTAACATCTTTGATCAAAATAACTTGTTCATTAAGAACAGCATCACTGATTTCACTGGCTTGATTACCATACACAGCAAGCCAAACCGGATAGCCTGATCTATCAACCAGTTTTATATTTCGTCTTAAAGTTTGTCTGCCAGATTTTGCGCTGTAAATGAAAGGGTCTTCAGCGTCACTTATTATACCGATCGTATTGATAAATAAAATGTCATTACTCAAATTTGGAATTTCTTTAATAAGTGTAAGCCGAGGTGTAAATTTAGGTTGGAATGCTGCAATGGGGGAAATTTGGGTGAAAAATTCCAGAACCAGTTCGTGTTTGTGGTCTATCGCGGTGTACAAGCCACATCGTTGTATATTTATACGACAGTCTGATATTTTGTAACAAGCATCTTCTAGGAATATGCTGGCAAACTGTTGGGCGACTTCGTCAAATCCTGAAACATTTTGAGGTGATTAAAACTGTGTAAGTTAAATGGCGGGAGATTTAACAAGTCAGAGTAACATTTAAGTTAAATGAAGGATGGCGAGGTTAGATAACACAATCTAGTGAATGAGAAATTTACCCATGAGCACGATTTCTCCACTGTTGTCCATCAAGTTGACCTTAAAGATAAATCCACTACCACGAGCATTGGAATACCGTCTTAATCCATGAACTTTAGTGACCCTAAAATGTTTGAAATTTAAGAAATCATGCTTGTAAAGGGGGAATTTGTTGTACTCTTTATCGTAAAGAATTCTATGTTTGAATCATCTTTTAGAACTTGTTAGAACGTAAAAGAAGATAAAATATCATATATATCATTTTCCCGTTACAAAATAACTTACCTAACATAGATTTGCCAATCCATGACCATATTTCTTGTTAACTCAGCTACAGTAACTCTCGTTTTCTCCTGGAACTGATACTGATAGGAGGACCAATATTCGAAAAATTCATCATCCTCTTCTCAGAGTCGTCAACACCGTAGGAACTGTTCCAGGATTGATACCTTTGCCAAGATCGACCTGTCAAAGCACCTTGTACTCATAACATAGCTGTTGGCATAGTTTAACCGTTATTAAGGTTAAATAATATTATTAAATCAGACTCGCACAGGAATTTCTGTTACATTATAATTAACACTTATGATTTATCGTTATGATTATAATATGTTATTACCTCCGACCATCATGACCATTATTTTTCACAGCAAGTTATAAAAGATCCATTAATAAGGTAACAATAGTACTTCGTGATAAATGTGTAAAATAATAGGGCAAATAATAAATAATATTCTGATTGATAAGTGGTAAGTTTGAAGAATGATGTCTATAAAGTACACGTGGTTGTGGGAGACGGTATGTAAATTGTATATCATAAATAACCACTTGTTAAAGTCACATAATGTGACAGCTTGAGTCTTTACTGACCATAACACAAAGTATGATAAAGCATGTATTCCATGTTGTAAAGGAATTTCTATCGTAATCTTTTTTGGAAACCATGAAATCAACAAAACGTGTCTAAGATACGTAATTTGAAGATAGGGTAATATTCACTAATATACACTGCACTACAACAGTACTAGTTACACTGCACTGAGACGTTATAATATGACAGTATAATGTATATCACTGAAAGTACAGGCCCACATTAGCGTGTGTATTAACGTAAGCAGTTTAGCGTAGTAAAGTAACCATGTTCGCGAATCACAGGAAGTCAGCCTCCACGGAATATGCAGTTAATTAGTTGTATTGGTTAACTGTTGGTAGTCACTAGTTAGTAACTACTAGTTACTAGTTAGTAACTAATAGTTACATATACTTATCCTCTACAGTTACCTTTTAACCCGACTGATTGGATCTATTATTTTGGGGCACCCACTATCTGAGTATCGAGAGCGGGGACCCGGGACATGCCAAGTTATTAATTAATATACAAATAGGTCATATTGAGCTGTAGTTGATAGGTGAAGCGGTACCTGAATAACTACGAGTCATGTGAATGAGCGTTATTACAATTTGCCAGAACTCTAATATGAAGATCAGCATGACGTGATGATTGGATTTGAGGAGCAGATAAACACGTGAAGCATCAGATTCACGTGCTGATGGTTCACGTGCTGATGCAGATGGTTCACGTGCTGATGGTTCACGTGCTGATGGTTCACGTGCTGATGATTCACGTGGTGATGGTTCACGTGCTGATGATTCACGTGGTGATGGTTCACGTGCTGATGGTTCACGTGCTGATGGTTCACGTGCTGATGGTTCACGTGCTGATGGTTCACGTGCTGATGATTCACGAGACTGTCGAAACCTCAATCAGCTGATATTTTGCTGCTTTAAATTTCTGGCAATCTCTGATAAAATCATCTGATCATCAGGTGAAGTGGTAGTTCAGGTACCACTTTACCATGTTTACATGTCTCTTTGACAGCTATGAGCAAATAACCCAATTTAATTGTCAGTTAATTCCCGTGCACTCGAAATAATAGCTGATGTAGCGGGTGCCCCAAAATGTTGGATCCAAATTGCTGGCTTATCAGCGACATTTAGTAACTATAGACTATAGAGGGTTCTTACAAAGTAACCACGTTACTGATATTATAATGTTACTAATTATAATTAGTATTACATGTTATTAATGTTGTTTTCAAAACATTCTGTAAAGTTATTGTATAGTGTTTAGTGCTTTGGATTACCTACATCTCTATAAAAATAAGACCTGAACTTTGTTGAAGCATTTTTCGTAAATAAATTTCTTACCGCTTCCTTCATTATTAAGTCCTGCTTTTCCATATTTGTCGTACACGTCCTTCTTTTTAGCTGAGATAATAATAACGTGATAACTTAAAGCCATAAAATAACTGTATAAATTGATTTCCAAAGAATACGAAAATGAGTATACAGTTTATATGCTACGTTCACGGCTTTCATTGAAATAACATTAAAGTAAAAAGTTCTGATTAATAGTGCCTATCTAATTGTGATAAAATAACCATAAATCTTTGTCTATGACAACTGAACTTACGATCTGATAGAATATCATACGCTTCTGATATTAATTTAAATTTCTCGTTTGCTAGTTCTGGATTGTCAGGGTTTTTGTCAGGATGCCATTTTAACGCCAATTTTCGGTACCTGAATTATAGTCATATGAGAATTCCGAACTAAGCAAACGAATGTATATTATATAGTACGGCGCAAAAGAAATGTACAGTGCAAAAGAAATGTGTACTTGGAATATCAACAGAAAAACAACAGAAAATTGCAATCAATATTATTAGTAGTTTAAGAAAGAGCAGACTAACGCTTTCTTGATCTCATCAGCTGTGGCATTCCTACTGATATCCATAACTTCATAGTAGTCTGTCTCATCCTCGTTCTCCGTCCTTCTGGATTTCTTTCTTGACATTATTTGTTACTACTGTAGTGTTGTTAAATGAGTAAATGTGTTACGAGATATTCACATGGTACCCACGGAACAAGGAACTCAACACGTGAAGAGACGGTACAAGAGATCCCACATTTTTGTGAATTACAGTTATTTGTTTAGCAACTTTAACGAATTACATTGTCACCATGCCCATGCCTGTCATATAATTTGAATTGTTTGGCAGTTTATGATAAAGCTAAAGCGAATCTAAATGTTAGACACAATAAATATGAAACAAAATTATAATTTGATATACGTACGTACGTAAATCTTTAATAATTTCCAAATAGAAAATATTTAAATGACTGAATTTTTATTGAAAGAGAGTAATCAGATAATGAAAAAAATAAATAAATGTGAACATGAATTAAAAAAACAAATAGTAATTTCCTATGAAAATCGAGTCTTATAACCACACATTTATCTAACACAACTTTTGTCCGAATCAGATGACCGAAAAACGACTGTTGTCAGAATTTTAAACCTGATTTGAATTGTTACTTGCTAATTGCTACTTGGCTAACTCAATTTCGGTTCGAGGGACGTTGGTCTTGGTCTCTGGTAACGTTCGTAGGCAGCAGTTCCAGTAATGGCAAAGTTTTCCCCAGACAAATTGACAAAAGTCGAACAATCATTTATATATTGACAGTTCGCAAAAGAAGATATAAATTCAACAACCAAATTAAAAAAATATTGCCCGTAAGTTTATCCACTGTTTCAGTTCACAATTTCACAGGTCTATTTATATTTACTCTGGTAGAGCTTGTATCCCCCATAACCGACAGCTGTAACTCCTGTTGCAGCAACTATGACTGGTGCTGCTGTCCCGAGTAAGGTGGTGGCTCCAACAGTTTGTGCCGCTGCAAAAGCGGAACTACCGACAACATTTCCAATTCCAGATTGTATGCCTGCTGCTATAGATGCCTCTACAACTCCACTTGCTGTAAAACCCATGAACCACGGAACTGAAGCAGTAGCCCCCACAGCCGTGACTATAGCCCCTCCCTTGAAAATATTTCTGTTAAATTCGTCGTCAGACATTTCTTTTATTTTTGCAAGTTCTCCACTTGCAGTAAAACCCAATAACGATGGAACTGAAGCAACAGTGCTCACAGCTCCACTGACATCATAGTCGTTTAATTTGTTAGCAGACATTTGTTTTACCTTTGCAACTCCACTTGCAGTACAGCCTATTAACCATGGAACTGCACTGGCACTAGACGTAGCAGTCCACACAGCTGTGGTTGAAGCCACTTCCTTGACAACATTTTTGTTAAATCTGTCGCCAAACATTGGTTTTACATAGAACTGAGACGAATAATAGTTTTTAAAAAGGAAGGCTATTCAGAAACAATTGGAAACTTTCTTCAGGTCAAAAGTATATTATATATGCATTAAAATGAAAATTGTAAAAAAGAATGTTCAAAAAAACACATGATTCAAAACATTCAACAAGCCAATTAACAAAAGGGTGAAAGTTTATCCACTGTTTCAGTTCACACTTTCACAGGCCTAATGATATTTGCTCACTAGGATAATTTAGTGGTAAACAAATATTAAATAAACACATAATTTCAGACAGTACAATAATTATAGTATACAATTGTAAATTTCCATGTAAAGAAATTACACATGTCAAAATATAATCTGATTATGTATAATAAAATTCTGATTTATGACAAAATATAAAATGAAAATTTCGAAAACCCAACGAACTGAACTTACACATAAATTCTGAAAAATACCTACTGAGTATTATAAATAGGTAGTTCAACACTTAAAAAATACAAGCACAAGTTACATGATAAATCGACTGAAACACAAAAATAATAGTATACAGTATTTCAGATGTTCCACTTTAAAATGACAATCCAATAACTCTACAACTTAATTACTCACAAAATTCACAGCTCAATAACAATTAATACATTATGTCAACATATAACAGGATCAATCTAAACCAAAGATACTAGTTTTGAAATACCAAGTAATCTGTGTTGTTAAATCATGCATTAGACTGTAACAGACAACTGCTCGAACAGCACCTTAGTCAACCCAAGCTGAACTAATTTAACAAATATCTTCGAAATGTTCCTGCAGTCGTCAATACCAGAGTGATGACGTCCTTCAAGCTCTAAATTAAGAGCTGCCAACATTTTGACCATACTCATCTGTTTTTTCGTTTGAGTCACATGGCTAAAGGCTTGTTTGATGTTGACATATTTCCTGTAAGCTGGGTCAGGATAAGACAAATTATTTGCAGTTAAATCATTAGGAAGCATGGTTTTAAGATCCCAATCTCCACAAGTAACAAATACAACAGATTCAGTATTTGGTCCAACATGATCAGTCAGCCACTCGTAATGCTGTTTGAGAGCATGCTTCAGTGAAAAGCCATTGTCAACTTGTGCTTGGGTGATGCCAGTTAGATTATGACAAAATTCGGAGACAGTTGGGTTGACAGTAGGTTTAACAAATATCTGGATTATATCAACAAGCTCGATTGTTTTCCTTTTATTCCATCTCCAAAGAAGAGAAGGAAACTCAATAATCTCGTGGTTCTTTGAGCCATCCCAGCAGGTTGCTTCAAAGTCGAGCACACACACATGTAAATCCATATCTGTATAAAATAATGTTGATTTGTCACCATTGTCATTGTCTTTTACCACACAGGAATCAAGTTTAAACATGTAAAATAGTAAAGATATTTTAAAAATAAATGACAAATTTTCAACAATTGACCTGAGCTATGTTTAAGCTAATGAAAATATACACTACATAGTTCACAAAGGTCTACTAGCAATGGCAAAATTTGCAACAATAACATAAACAAAGGTTATATAAAGCTATGTAATATGTATCCGTAATACAAGGGAGTGTTACAAATGATGATGCTTTTGACCATATCTATTAAGACAATTGCACCAAGTGCATTTCAGATTTCCATCATCACAAAGCACTCGATCTCCTTTGCCACCTTCCATTTCTTTAATCTGACCTTCCCCTAAATTTCATTATATCTGTTTCACTCTCATCCCAATTCTTACCTCAGGCTTAACTTCAGTGTTTCAAGATATAGCTGAGTGACAGGCTGGTGAGAGAGCATGTGTTAAGGGGGCCGGGGGGTCTTCATCAAAATTCTCTCGAAATCGACTTTATAGTTGTTTCTGAGTGAAACAAATTTTTTTTAGTGAAACAAATTTAAAATTTTATCCTTTATTTTACAATCATAATATAATAATATTTATAAGCCTCCGTTTTGAAAGTTTTAAATTTTAATATATTCACATTTCTATTTAAAATTCAATTTAATGTATAAGTCAATATAAATAACTGGCCGCCAAAGCCGCGCATTCTTGAAAACAGGATTAAATTGTTCATGATTATACGACAAATAGAAATAAATTTAAAACTATCCGTGGTTTTTTAAAAATAAATTACAAATTATAATCTTACCTAAATCCAAAGCCAGCTTTGTAAAATTTATTATTAGATCATAATATATCGTCAATTCTCAATATTTACAATGCAACATTTCATTAATCTACATACAAGCGTACTCCAGCCCCTGCACGCATCCGTTCTTATGCGGCGCGGCTCAAGCCGCGCACGCACGTATTATTTTATACTTTTTGCTTTCTAATAAATATCGTGTCAATGTGTACGTGTTTTGTGTAAACCGAATCCAATTGAGATTAGTGACAAGGATAAGGACCCAAGTGCCTGTACGGCTTTTTCGGACCCCTGTGGACCACTACTCTTGAAATTGCTCTACAACTATTGAACATTTATAACTGTTATATAATATATAACGTCATTTGACAATTATTATCATTAATCTACAATCTAACTGTCTTGCTGAGGGGGAGGAGTAAACGCTTCACAAACTAAGATACTTACAACATACAAAATTTAAAACCATCAACACGGTTATTGTTAATATCAAGGGCCAATTTGGTATACCTCTATTTCGTTGTAATATCTAGTATATCTTCACATCTTAATACTATAATGAAATACAATAGGATACATGTTTCGAGAAAGAAAGGTTGGTCCGATTATTAACAAAAGTAAACAAAAGTCCATCAGGGACTCCACGGAGTCGAAAAAGGTACACGGCTGCTGTCTGGTGCTGCTAGGCATTTATTGATCAAGATGTTTTATTGTATTGGTTTTTGATGATTCTATTGTTCGTGACTAATCAAGTTCTAAGTGGGGGTATAAAGTGCTGCTTAAGATACTTCGTCATCTCAGTGATATCTGAGAGAGGATAGTGATATCTATCAGCAGCTTTTGGTCCCATAACATAACATAACATTATAAATAATGCCTCTCTGGGCATCTCAAAAAGAAATTCATAGAAAATGAACACTTTATGTTGGAAACCATATAATTACAAACTTTTAAAAAATTCAACTAAATACCTTTGATATTAACCTTCTTCCTCTTAGCTACCAATGGATTCTCTTTCATATAACTTACATAACTATTCCTATTATACACAGACACATCTATCCTATCAAAGATGTCATATGACAGTTCCCAGTAGTGGCCAAGCTTATTTGCCTGATATCCATGACGCCGAAAGGCATCTAATCCCCTCTTGAAACCAGTAACCGACTCACTAGCTTTCACAAGTAGTGGTAGACTGTTCCTATAGCGCAAGACCCTTTGGGCAAAGAAATCAGTCTCATTTGTGGTGAATATATGAGTCTTTGATCTAAAAATCTATCTTCTCCTACATTTTTTGAGCAATCACCCTCAAACTTTCAGGATATATTCTTAGGATCTTGAACTGCATGACATCTCCTTCAACCTCATCCCCCAGAAGACGAGCTTTGAGGTCTCCTAGATTTGTTTATGTAAATTTTGATATTTTACTGTACTATTTTATGTTGTATTTAATTTTACGGACGAAATGATCCCAGGGGGAACTCCCAACCCACTGCTTCGGCGGGTAGTTGACGCACCTTTCACAAGCAAGAGCCACTTTGGTCTACTTGCTGTGAGGTGTCTCAGCTACATGGGTTGGGGGTCCCCCCTTTTTTCTTTTTAAAAAAAATTCTTAGGATCAGTTATAAGAGAACTCTAGAGCCAGAATTTTGAGATAGGCCTTTAAAGATTTTTAACTTTTAACGAAATTTACTTGCTCAAAAGTTTAAAAACATTATTTTTGACCTATTTTTGGCCAAAAAATCAGTGTTTGCGATAATTTAACTAGGGAAACTCACTTTCGATCGATTCTACGGTCCAAAATATGTATTGGAAGTGTATTTGGGGTCCCTAGCGGCGTATCGAGCAGAAAATGCCCGTAAGGCCTTTTACTACTATGTACTATGTCAAATATTGTCATACGTTGTATAACAGGGGTGAAACGACCGTGGGGGTGGTCACGACGTGACACTTACCTAGGGACCTCAGGCTATCATGTTCATAAACATATTATGAGATTAGGCTTGCTCTAACCAGAGCCCTCTCGCTTGCTGTAGCGCGCGACCCCTGCGTCACGCAGTACGCGTATAAATGATACACATGGCTATGTGAAAGATTAGGCGGAATGCAGACAGGCTGAGCGCGGCCCAGTAACGTGATACAAGTCAAATATATGTGCAACACTTTATTGTTTGCTTTTGCACTGTATGTGAATTGTGAAAGAAGCAAGCAATAGACTAGCAGAGACTTGATTCTACTATACCATATACAAAGAATAAATCCCTTTTCGGCGGCTTGTAGCAACTTAACCAGGGACCAGGTTAAATTACGTGTTTTTGGTTTTGTTATTTTGTATCTGTTACTGGACATTTGTCATTTGTCATGTGGGAGCATCAAAACCCAACCTTGGCACCAATGTATATTTAAATTTTCATGAAGCATCACATTCACAATAAAATTATACTATCTGCAATGCTTTTTTGTTTATTAACCGGGACCATAACATGAAAAAGTATACCTTGATAGATAAAAAAGCCGATATTGACCGATCAGGCCAGGATTGTAATTCAACCGGGATCCCGGTTGAGCCCGGCCATGACTAGTTAAATTTATTGGAGGACTTCGCCGCTTCGACGCGCCGCGCAAACTAGCATTCTTGCTTCGCATCGAAGATCGTTGCTTTGCTTTGCAGAGCAACGATCTTATCTGGAAGGGTACTGACATATTCAATCAATTAACAATTAAATTTACATCGTGCGATGGCTTTTGTAGGTTTATAACCTATCAGGACGCGCGCCGAGTTGGACTCGTTGAAGGTCCTATTTGGAACAAAAATTTTACGAGTATCACCCGTTAAGATGGCTAGGGCTTTGATTGTTGTTAATGGACTAGCCCGGTGCGGCGGTGCGCGCTACTTTACGTTTCACATAGCCATGTGTATACACGTACTGCGTGACACCGTGACGCGCAATTTGCAATTGTTTCACGGCGGTCGTGCGCTACTGCAAGCTTGTCATACGTTGTATGACCCGCCGCGCACGTATATATAGTTTGTCATACAATGTATGACCCGCCGCACACGAAGTGAGCGGCTCCCCCTGTAGCGTCGAAGACGCTACTATAGTGAAGCGACCGTGGGGGTCACCACGTGATACAATATATCGTCAGGACGATAGTGAAACGACCGTGGGGGTCGCAACGTGATACAACTGCAAGCGAGAGGGCTCTGGTTTGTGGTTAGAGCAAACTTCACTTCGTAGCACTTGTGACTTGCATTGGGCCATTTCGAGAAAAAAGGGAACGATATTCTTAATCTTAATTGAAAAATTGCATACTTCATTTTCATAATCCTAATAATATAATATGGTGAAATTAAGACAGACCCTTTAAAGAACGCGACGAAAGTCAGTATGCACCAAACAAAGTGATTAAATTATAACGCAATAATGCTCTCGCGCTCTGAGGGCCGCGCATGATAACGCCCGAACGCGGAAGTGAGGGAGTTTGCGCGGCCTGAAAGAGTGAAAGAGTATTATCAGTTATAATGCACGACTCAGACTGGCTGGCGGCAAGTTTCAAAACAAACAACACTGGCGTTCTATATATTAGACACTATATTGTATCATGCGCAATAATCACATTACACCCCTTCCAATCGGAACCGGAATGTATTACTATTATAATACCTTCCGGGAATTATATCCACTAAAAGTCTCGGACACTGAGAGCTGATAATTTGCCGATATATCCCGCAAGGGAAGCCAAGGTATTATCAATATAGACCTCAGACTGGCTGGCGGCAAGTTGTAAAACAAATAACACTGGCGTTCTATATATTAGACACTATATTGTATCATGCGCACGTATCGGATTACACCCCTTCCAATTCGGAACCGGAAAATATTATAATACATAATACCTCCGGTTCTTCGGGCCGCAAATTCCCTCCAGCAAGCTGTCGGGAATTATCAAGCGGAGCCCGAAGAGCCGAAGGCATTATTATATTATAACGGAAACGTATTACGAAAAATGAAAGTGGTCTCTCGCTGTTCCTTCACATAGCCATGTGTATACGTGTACTGCCTTCGGCTTCACCTAACCATGTGCTTTCGCGCCACTTCGGGCGCGCTTGTTTCACAAGTCAAGAAAAGCACCTATCCACGAACCCCGATGGGAAGGTTCGTGCGCGCG